GAGGCAGAGAGAGAGTTTTCTAAGAAACATCAGGAGGGCTGTGACTAATAGCCATGAAGCTTCCTTGGGGCTAATCCGAGGTCAGGCAGCCACGTGTGCAGACTGGCTGTGGCGCAGCTTCAGGCCCTCCCGCCGGCTGCCGGCTGCCGAGCCTGCCTGGGTGAGACCTGGGGCTCAGCAGAGGCCGAGCTCTGGGTCTCCCGCCGTGGCTGTGGGTTGGGTGTCTCGGCCCCCCTGGGTGGGGTGGGGCATTGGTTGTGCTGGGATCTGGTGGGCCAGGCTGTGCAGGACCCTCCGTCTCTCACGGTGGCTTCTCCCCTCTCAGGACCCCTCGTGGAACCACCGGGTGTATCGACTGGCTCTCACCAAGCTCTCGCCTCCCATCATCCCCTTCATGCCCCTTCTTCTCAAGGGTAAGAGGACCAGCCTTACCTCCCGTCCCCGTTCCCACCGCTTCTGTGCCTGGTGTACGTCCTCCCAGTGCTCTCTGAGTGATCACACCTCAAGTGCTGACGCCTGGGGGCATGAGGGTGAATTAGGAGCTTACAGGCTGCGAGACAGTTTAGATGCGAGACAAGTAAGGGCTCTGCTAGTGGGCCTGTGATTTGGGGAGGCCCGAGGGAGCCAGAGCTCAAGGCTCCCTTCATCGGCCCTTCACCTGTCCTGGGCTCCAGCAGGGGGAGGAGTTTGGGGACCTGTGAGCAAAACCTGTCTCTGTGCAGACATGACCTTCATCCAGGAGGGAAACCACACACTAGTGGAGAATCTCATCAACTTCGAGAAGATGGTGAGTTCAAGGAGAGTGGGTGTCCGCCACGGGTGTGGGTTGGGGGACATGACTGTGGCCTGGGGAGCAGGGGGTGAGAGGTGGCTGAACTTGTTACCAATAGTATAAATGTGAATGCCCGTTGTTAAGTAGCCCCGCCTTAATGCACAGCGCAGGGTCTGCTCTCTATAGGGGGCTGCTGGGCGACAGCCTCAAATATCTCACTGTTTAACAGGAGCCTTTTCCAGCCCTCTTCTCTCTAAGCCCTTCCTTAACTCTGTCTTCTGACCACTGCCTGGTCCCCACTGGGCCTCTGGGTGTGCTGGGATGAGGCAGACAGGACCCCATCTCTACAGCCCCCTAATCCCTAGGAGCACCCCATTCAAAGGGAGCTTGGACTCCCAGGGGCCCCACAGGGCAGGGAGAGGTTCTGTCCCCCGGCCAGAGCTCATGCCTGGGTGTTGCCTGCAGCGAATGATGGCCAGAGCTGTGCGGATGCTGCACCACTGCCGAAGCCACAGCAGCGGTGAGAGGGCCGGGCCCCCGGGGTGGGCACTCCCCCACCCAGCGTCCTCTGCCAGGCTCCACTTGACCTGTCTCCCTGACTCCCACTCCTTGCCCCATCTAGTGCCTCTCTCACCACTCAGAAGCCGAGCTTCCCACCTCCATGAGGACAGCCAGGTGGCGAGGATTTCCACATGTGAGTGGGGGACGGGCCTGGGTGCTAACAGCAGTCAGCCACAGTTGACATTTCCTGGGCCCTGGCCATGTGCCAAGCACAGAGCCAGGCACTCACAGGCATGATGCCGATAACTCTTCACTCTGTGCAGTGGGTAAAAGATAATGTTAGCCCAACTTAAAGATGGGGAAACAGCCTTGAGCTTGGAAGTAACTTGCTGAAGGCCACAGACTTAGTGACGGAGCTGGAACCCAAGCACCCTTACTCCAGACTTGCATGTTTTTGATTGACCTTCAGTTGCTTGAAACGGGATTAATCATAGTTCATGGTTCAGAGCACACTGCCATCACTGCCCTGCGTTTTATTTTACAAATGCATTTATTCTGATAATATGTGAACAGCTCTGGACCCAATCCCAGTATGAGACATTGACAGTAACTCATGTCTCCCACTGTCCACT